TTCAATGATAAAATAATAGTCGTTATTCTTAATGAAAAGTGACTAATTTACTTTCTAGTTCGTTATTTCTGCCGAAACGTCTAGAAACGTTATAAGAGTGCCCTAAATACAAAATAATGCACTCAGTATTAGTTTTAAGCTTTAAAAGTATGTTGCGAAATGAAATTGCGGCGATCAGCTGATCGCGCTATTCGCTTTGATATACAATATGAGCAATATTGTAATATTCGGCCGCACGGTAAACAAAACTAAAAAGTTAAATTTAGCTACAAACTCTCTCTCTCTCTATAAAACAAATGCGTATAAACAAATTGTGTACCAATAAAAGCCATTTCTCGAGAAATACAGTTAAAAAATCCGTATTTTCCACCTTTTGGTAGCTTCTTCCGTCTTTTAAACAAGTAATTGTGAGAATATCGAAGTCGAAATTCGGCAGGAACCAGACCTGTCACTAGAGATAAAATCTAATAGAGTGAACCACATGTTTTTTCTTTTCTTCTGTCAAACATATCGTCTGGCTGCTCTCTTTGATCTTGAAAGTTTGCCGCCTGTTTCTTCTTTTGAGTTTGTCAGTGTTCTCACGTGTAATAGAAGCATTACTACCTTTTTTATGTTGCTTTAACTCAAATTTCTTTTCTGTTTGTTTTTGTCGTTTTCCCTGCCCTATTTTTAGTTCTTGTCTTCATCAGGGCGTTCTTTTTATATATACCTTGATAATGCTTTTTTCATATTTTTTACCTTTATCTTCACGTCTATATGAAGTTTACATAACCTCTTTAATCAATAGTCGTCTTATTTTTGATAATCCATTATCTCGCTTCAGTCATTCAGCATGCTTGTTCGTCTATCTATCCACCTTTTACTTTTATAAATCAAACTTCGTTTAATATTTCTCGGGATTTTTTTCTGAATAAAAAATATATATTTGTAAGTGCGCATTATTTTCAATTATTTTTTTAAAGCAATGAACATTTTTAGCAAGAAAATTTCTTGCAAAACTTTACATAAATAAGTTTTTAGAGAAAAAAAATAGCACAAAAGAGAAAAATAATTTACTTTTCTTTGAAGCACGGTAATTGCTTTAGAAGTCCTTTTGTATAAATCATACAAACATGTGTTTCACTGCTCTGCAGTTTACGAGAATGAACGAAAGGCCAGTGATGTTCAAAAAGAACTTAAAAAAGGACGAGTTTGTAGTTTGAGGAGGATAAAGCGTAATTTAACTGACTCAAAGGGGTTTCAGACTAACAATCAACAGACCTTTATGATCTATTCTACTTGTCATTTTTCACCTCTACTAACTAAAACGGTTTCAGACTAACAATCAACAGCCCTCCATGATCTATTCTACTTGTCATTTTTCACCTCTACTAACTAAAACGATTTCAGACTAACAATCAACAGACCTCCATGATCTGTTCTATTTGTCGTTTTTACCTCTACTAACTAAAACTGTTTCAGACTAACAATCAACAGACCTCCATGATCTATTCTACTTGTCATTTTCACCTCTACTAACTAAAACGGTTTCAGATAAACAATCAACAGACCTCCATGGTCCATTCTACTTATCGTTTTCACCTCTATTAACTAAAACGGTTTCAGACTAACAATCATCGGACCTTCATGATCCATTCTACTTATCGTTTTCACCTCTACTAACTAAAACGGTTTCAGACAAACAATCATCGGACCTTCATAATCCATTCTATTTGTCGTTTTCACCTCTACTAACTAAAATGGTTTCAGACTAACAATCAACAGA